CGTTGTTTCGTTTAAAGAACTTCTTTATCCTATCCGCATCTTTGGCAAAGTCTGTTGTGCCGATTTGTCCTGCGAAGTTGGGTTGAAATTGCCACGTATCTTCCTCGGCATTTTTTTTAAATTTGTACTTGGTCACAATGTCAGTCTCCATCCACTTAAGATCATCTTGATCGGGGTCATTCTGAAGCAAGTTTGAAGCTAGAAATCTGTTTTTGTGAAATAAGACCCAAGATTCATATTCAAACTCTCTTGTGTTGTGTGAAAGTCTTGAAGTTCATCAGTTAATTGGATTTTCAGCGAAGTATTTTTATCTTGGGTTGTAATGGTGATAGGACTTAGTGGAGTACAATTCAGGGAGTCATCAGGCGTGTGATTTCAAATTGGCCGAGTACGAAGTGCAAGGGTAATTTGAAATTAAGAATAGGATTACCCTTGAGTTGTACGACTCGAAGTCCGATTACCAATAAATTGTGTCAAAAACAAAACACAAGAAACTCGGGAATGAAAAATTTAATGTCACAACACATACCATTCTTGCTGATACCGAGTAAAAGTAATTGGAACTTTTAGTTTTGTCCACGTCACTATGTTTCAAATGTGCCGGACCTCTCAACCCCAAGTCATTAGTTTTCATTTTGATTGGGTAGGTAGTTGAGTTTTATCGGTTGATGGCGTAAAGTACTTGATTTTAATTGGTTGCTCAACTGTCTGATTTGGCCTGTCCGATTATTAGTGTTGCTCATATTCAAGCATTTTGTTATTGACACAATTAAGCCCTTTTTATTCATCTAAACATGATAAATTGTATCGGCATTTGCGCAAACTCATTTTAAATTGATGAAAGTTGTTGCAGTCTCCTGCCGAAAAAATCCGGCCCACACCTTCAAATTGTTATTGTAGTCCCACTTTCAAATATTTTGAGCCAAAAACATCTGTTTGATTGATATTGCTCTATTCTACAGCAAGCAGGTGAGATGTGCCAGCGGTAAATCGTTTTCATTAGCCCCCAGTCCCTCTTTTTCCATAGAAACACTTGTGGCGTCTCTCTATTGGTTACATTTTAGTCGTTGTAAGCTTACGGCTCATCTGATGGTGTTCCTTTCAGAGGCTCACTGAAGTCGGCCAAGGTCCACTCCGGCTGATTCTGGAGGAGGTCCTCGACTTGTGAGATAGGGTACAGTTCATCATACACCTGTCAGACAAGCCACACAGTGAGTAATTTTTTTCAGTTTTTTTTGTTTCACTTGTAGGGTTAGAGTGCATCTTTGTAAAGTATCTTAAACTGATTCAAATCAAAGTAATCGGCACAACAGCCAGTTACTGTGATTTTCCCGTTCGACTGAATTGGGAAACTTGATTCAGGGTTTATGAAAGATCATGGACTGTTTATACTCTTTATGTACCAGTCATGATTTAACACGGTCGGAGGGAGGGGGAACCCCTTGTTTTTAGGGAGAAGGGAGGGGGGATTGTCGTCGCTAACAGAGTATAAGGGGGGGTATGGTAAATTGACTGCCAGTTAACAGCCAATGAGGCAGGGGGTAATCTTAAGAATGTTACAGAGCCTAAACGGTGGCCAATTTACGTTATCTACTCTGTTGATAACACTAAAAAGACAACAGGTGGCTTCAAAGGAAACCTTTAAATTTCCTTAAGTAAGACTGTTCAACTCACCACGTTCTCCATGTCCGCTGCACTTGGCTTTACCTGACTTCGGAACTCATTGTGAGGATCAACAAACCGCTCATTTGGCTTGTCGGTCGGACGGCACTCATCAGGTTGAGGAGTCTTAGGATCCATACAACCACCATTGCTGACTTGTAAGGTCACAGAAAATACCATGATACACAATAGTGATATCATCATGCGGAGGTAGATTGACTCGCTTACTGCTATAAATCGGTTGATTGAAAGAAATCCATTGATATCTCAATAGAAAATACATTGGAAGTTTAAACTAAAAAAATGCTTCGAGACCGAGATATTTAAGATGCGTCCCATGTCACGGACCTATTATAATGGGGTTCTGTTAATCACACTCCACTTCGATTGGGGGTTTGAGAGATCGTTTGATTACTGTGGCAATTGTTTACACTGTATTTTAATGTATAACTCAAATTGTCTCTTAGAGTGCATTCGTGCAAACGCAGATATTACAAGCTACTCTTTGAGTTGCATTAAACTCAACGTTTCTTTAATTAGTGGTTGAATTTACACTTTAGAGTTCAAATTTTTTCCTGGGTTCAAGATTTTTTTAATCCGGTGTGTTTTTCCCCTTCCTTTTGACTATGAATGCAAGGAAAAATAAAAGTTTAGAGCAACAAAAGTGAAAGAAAAAAAAAAAGCACAGCAACTATTCAATCCTTTTTGGAGTTTTCCTTGACTTTCGCACAATTACAGGACTTCTTGCGTCAACTTGTGAATGGAAAAGCGGGTGAATGGAAAAGCGAGTGAATGGATAGATTGACCTTCCTTAATTTTCGAATATTTCTATC